TTCATTTTTTAGAATTTGTTCGTAGTGAGCATTCACATGGTGATTGTGGTTTGCAAAACGTGCTTGAATAATGTTTGTGATCAAATGAATGTTTTTGTTATTTGAATTGTTATTTGTCTACAATTAAAGATGTTTGAGTATAAGTTGGAAATAAATTTAAATCGAAAAAAATAAAATTAAAAACAATTATTGAAACGTTCTTCTTTTCTTTTTTAAATGTCATCAGTGTTAAAGTGTTACAATTTTAAGTTTATTGTTTTTAAGTTTTCTATTTATTATGTTTTTTTACTGTTTAATTTGTTGTTTTATTCAAATCCGTGTTAATATGAAATCGACCCAGCTTTTATTTTTAAAAATTTGTTTGTAACATATAGGTGAGCTACAAAGTCGTTACGGTAAATAGAACCGTTACGAAACAAAAAAATATTTTTTGTTCTTTTTATTGTAAAAACTTTCAACTGTTTTTGTGCTTTGTTTTGGTTGAAATAAGGTTTTTGTTGGATTATCTTGTCCAACTTTTTTATTTTTTTGTAATAAATGCAACTGGAGTGATTTTATATTTTTTCATTACATCGCTTTTTTAGCTTTTATTTAAAATTGTTGATTTATTTGGTTACGCATATCAAACCATTTTTTACCAAGAAGAAATCACATATCAATAAATAAATAATTGTGTCACTTGATAAATCAGGAAAATATCAACAAAATTTAATAATTATCTTGATACACCAAAAAAGTTGTGAACATTTTTCAATATTTTTATCAAAATGTATTCTTGTTCAATTAAACGACTGTATTTCAATACTATATGGTCATAATATAAAACGTTTAACGGTGACATTGTTCAATATGAACTTTTGATATGATTTATAACACATTTTTAAAATGTCAATTACCAATAAAATTATCAGATGTAATTTTTAACATATAAAAAATTTAATCAACAATCAAATTAAATGTAAATAATATATGAAGTATTAATAATAATCACCACACCAATTTGACCAATTTTTTGAATTAGTATTTAATAATGAAATGGTGTCGAAATATAATAAAAAATAAAACAGTTGTAAATATACAATAGGTATTGATCGAACTACAAATTATTAAAATAATAAAAAAAGCAAAAACAACAATTTATAGTCTGCGTATAAAACCACTGGGACTGAAAAAAAGTCAATTTTTAATTTGATAATAATTTCTGGTATAGTTTTCATTTTCCCTATTTCCTCGATTTTAGTCACAAAAACTAGGTTTACCACCAACATTGACCTTAACACTTTAGAAAAGCTCTTTTATTTTTTCTGATAGTTTAAAACAGTGGTAAAGGAAATATGTGAATTGCTGAGAGTGAATTGTTTTGTTTTGAAAAAGTGAAAAAAATCTGTCTAAAAATAAATGGAATGTTCGTATGACGACAAAAAAATGTTTTTATTTTATTTTAGTTTTTTGCTGTTTTTCAAATAACAAAATTATTTTTCTGAATAACATTTTTTTCAAATCCCTCTTAGTGCATCTTTGTTCAACATCCCCTTCTGTGATTTATCAAGTTGTTTAGTAGAATTTTTGCTTATGATAACTACATTACTTAACACTCGCACATTGATGTCGTTGAACAAACGGTATTCCAAATACCATCAATAAGTGTTCCAAATCACATTTTCTTAAAAGTGACATGATGATGAACACTGTATTTTTTTCCACACCTTATAACACCAATACCTCAACTTTTGGAAATTTTATTTTTGCAATTGAAAAACAGATCTGTTATTTTTAAAGTGTTCTCCGTTATTGAAGGGAACACTCTTGTTTTAACACAACATTGTTTCACTGCCATTGTTCACTTATTTGAGAGTGTTTTTGAAATCAAACTTTTCAAGCAAAACAGAGCGCATTTCTTTTAAAATGGTGAAAATAGTGTTTAATAACTCTATTTTCATTCCAAATGGTATTATTACTTCACATTTGCTCCTTTTTGTTATTTTCAAAATCATTGTTTTTAAAACTTTTTACGCAAAAATAATTTGTTGGGAAAATAATCCAGTAAATTTATTTAAAATGGTCGACCAGCGGTTTTATTTGTCCATCGATAAATAACAAAGAGTTTATAAATTGTGGCAAATAGCGGATTGTGGTTAAAAAACATCGGATAACACAAACAAAACAGTCAAGAAAAGAACAACATGTTCATAGTTAATGGTTAAAAAAGTAGATAAAATTGGTAAATAACATCTATTATTTCGGGGTTTAATACATACAAAACCCGTCATAATAGTCATTAATAGACCAATTTATGAAACAAATAAAAACATATTTATTATTAATCAAGTTATTAATTTAACCATATTGTAATTATTATTATTATTATTATTATTATTAAATATATTATTAATACATAGTAAAATGCTCTATTTTTGCTGTTTTCTCTTTTAAATTAATATGATAATTATATTTATTAAATATTATTTATTTTAAATTCCTACAATTATTAGTAATAACAATCTAATATAACAATAATAAATAACCCACAAACTATAAAAACTAAAAAAATAAAACCTCAATCACTTATGTCAAAACAAATAACAAAGAAATATGTTTATAAAATGGGAGAAGAAAAAGTACGTAGCAAGAACATCATGAAGCCTATAGTTGCCAATTCTAACAATTTGAGAGATCACCTTAAAGATAACGTTCAACTCTTTATTGCTTTTCAAGAATTTTAAAACATAGTCAACAAACAAGAATTTTGTGATTTCAGGGATGAAGTTAAATTTTGTTTGGATTATTTCGAAAAGAAGAAAGAGTAGTTGTGTTTCCCCAATAAACGTTTCATTGACCACTTGTTTGGAATTGTTATTTGGAACACAGAAAAAAGAAGTGTCGAAAGTCAGAGAGCAAAAAATAACAAAGAAAAGAAGGAAGGCAAATGCTTAGAAAAAGGAAAAACAAGGATTTTATCGGATGATATAATCAAAAAAGTGAAACAAATCGTCGAACAAAACACTTCAGTTAAACCAGAAGAACTTGGTCTTTATCTTCTGAAGAATCATGGAATTGCAATAGAGAGCCAAGCGCTCCACAAGATCATGTCCAAAATACTGGGTGTGGAAACCAGAGTTGCTCCAGTCATGGAGCTCGAAAGAGCAGCCCTTTCAAAAGATGACATCAAAGCATGGATGGAAAGGTTAAAAAATAAAATTGATGGTGTAAGATCTGAACTCGTGTTCAATTTGGATGAAGTCGGCTTTTCCCAATGGGTCGATGCTACCAGCAAAACTGTTTACTGTTGCATTGAGTCTGGTGAAACAGTGTACAATGGTGTTCAAAGAGATGCTTCTCGCATATCTCTTTTGTGTTGTATTTGCAGTGATGGAACCAGATTGGTTCCATTGGTTGTCAGCAAACGGGTCCTCATGGACCAATCTTTGGTTGCCTCATACAAGAGCAGAGCTCTTATTCGAAGCCAACCCAATGGATTGAACAAGGAGCTGTACATCGAATGGATTAAAAAGATCTTCATTGCCGAGATCCAAAGAAAAAAGAGTTCCTTGGTGTACGAAAAGACACAAAAAGTTATTTGTTGATTGATGGCTTTTCTGGCCATTTTGACACAGAAATCACCCGTTTGTTTGAGGAAAATTACATTGAAATGATTGAGCTTATCCCTCATTCATCACATCTCACACAGCCATTAGATTTTGGAATATTTGGAATCCAAAAGAAGCTTTTGAGTAACAAAAACAATATGTACCAACACAAATTCCAAATTGAAGAAGAAACCGAAAGATCCAAGCCTATGAAGAACATTCTTTCGTTTGACTCGTTAGAGTTCAAAAACTGCCTAAAAAGTTTGTTTGTCTCAAAGAAAAAGATAGAATTAATGAACTGATCTATTCTTGGGAAGTGACTGCCAATGGCGACAATGTTGTGAAAGCTTTCAATCAAGTCGGTGAATTTATTGTTCCAAAAATAATTACAAAGCGAATGGAAGAGGAAAACACCCCTAATTATAACTCATCGGACGATGTGGTTGGTGTTATCAGAGTAGAAAAGGAGAAGGCCAAGTAAGTGAACAAAATTTTGAAAAAACTCCCACATTAGCTCCAGTAACCAAAGTCAAAAGGGTTTCTGTCGAAAGAAAAGAAACCAAAGAAAAACGACTTGCAAAGTCGAAGGATAAGAAATCAAACCCAATTGAGTTTTAGAAAAGATTGGTTAATTTATTAACAATATAATTACGAAAGGTGAAGCTTTGGGAGTGTTTTTATCAAAGTTCCTTGAACTGGGTTTGTTTAAAAAAACAACCATTATTATCACAAAGCAAGTGCCACTCGGGAGCAGCGCCGTTGTATTATTATCAATACAATATATATCTGAATCTAAATTGTTTATTTTGACAATCTGAACCAACTTGCGAACTTTTCTGTGATATATCACTGCCTACCTGTTGTTTGTTTTTATTTCAATGATTGTGATTTTAAACAAATGTATTAATTGTTTAAAAACAGAGTGTTGGTACGATTAACACGGTTAAAAGGTTAAATAAATTGGATTTTAATATTTAGTAATTGAATAATTTGGGATTGAATCTGTTTCAATTTTAATTCAATCACAATTCAAAAAAATCAACTTGCAATTTTAGATAAAAACATGTTTCTGTGTATATTTTTAGAACTTGAAGATGTTTATTTTTTATATTGGAAAGTCACACAATAATTATAATTAATTTAAATTTTCCCTACTGTAACAGTTTTAACAAATTATTTTCTTTCAAAAAACATACAATTAATAATATTTGCAGTGTTGTTTTGTAAATAATTTTTAAACATTTAAATTATGTATTATATTTAATTTATAATTTTCTGTTTAAGAATAGTATATTTTACGATATTTATATATAGCTTAAAACAGTGATTGACTTTAATTTGATAATTTATTATAATTGTAAACAAAAAACGAATTTTTCAATATTTAAAAACCGAATAACTGTGAATATCAAAATGAGTGGACTTTCTGGTTATCACATCATGATAGTCTCGAAGTACTTCGAGACTATCAACGACTTAATTAACTTGGAGTTGGTGTGCAAGAAGTTTGATGGTAATATGGAAAAGTTCCACTTCAACCCAATTCCGCTAAATTCCAAAACACTTGGATACTTCCCAAATATCGAGACACTTCATTTGTGGGATGTAAAAGATGAAAACTTTAACAATGGATTTATGATCAACAGAGATAATGGAAATTGTGAAAATGAAGGTGTTTTAAAGAAAGAGTTATATCGAATCATCGTGTGGTTCAATGTTGACTTTGAAACTGTTGACAGAAACAAAAGTCGAAACATTGAGTTTAAAAATGTTACTTACACTCAAAATGATAGAAAGAAAAGTGGTAATAACATACCATTGGGTGTTACATCGATTGGTGATTGTTGTTTCTACGAATGTGGTAAATTAAGCAGTATTATAATACCATCAAGTGTGACATCAATTGGTGATTATTGTTTCTATAAATGTAGTAGTTTAAGTAGTGTCAACATACCATCAAATGTTAAATCAATTGGTGAAGGTTGTTTCAGTGGATGTAGTAGATTGACAAGTATTACAATACCATTGAGTGTTACATTAATCGGTGATTGGTGTTTCAATAAATGCAGTAGTTTAAGTGATGTTATTATTCCATCAGGCGTGACATCAATTAGTGGTGGTTGTTTCAATGAATGCAGTAGTTTAAGCAGTGTTACAATAACATCCAGTGTAACATTAATCGGTGATTGGTGTTTCAATAAATGTAGTAGTCTGAGCAGTGTTATAATACCATCAAGTGTCACTTCAATTGGAATTCGATGTTTCCCATCAAATACAGTAATTCATCGAAATTAATTTATTTGTTACTTTTATTTAATGTTTATTATTGTTTTAATAAATTTAATTAAGTTATAAGTTGTTATATTATTATATTATTATTATTATTAATAAAAATAATAATTTGAAAAAATCGAATGTCTGCAAGGATATATTTCAATAATATTTTTCACCAACGCTGTTTTTTTGTTCACATCTCAAATATAATCAAATTTAATTTTTTATTCTTTTTGAAAAAAGTTGAAACAATCACACCAACATGTTAAATAAAAACAACGGAACTTACTATGGAGATGTAAAAAAGCGCAAAAACAGACAAATCAGCAAACTGTTATCTTTTTTTTTAAATTCAACTACAACAAACTGCGTTATAGAATGTATTATAACAATAAGTAAACATGTTTGTTATTGGTATTGTATATATTAATCCATATATGATATAATAATGATATTCAAGGTGGTTGAAATGTACTTGATTGTGAATATGTTTTCAATAACTCCAGGTACATCGCCAAATACTTCAAATTTTATTGGCTTGAAAATATTTGTTTCGGGATTTCTGGCGTTATGTTTGCGTACTTCAATCAAAAATGCAACAAATTTCAACATTATTTCAAGTCATTTTTTGTTATTTAAAAATAAAAATAAAAACATAATTTTTATTCTATTAACTGTATATATGACTTTGTGTGTCTGTAAACTATTATTTATATAATATATATCAATGTAAAAATACTTTTACTAATATATTTTTATTTTCAAGTAAAATAAGTTGCTTTGTATATATTTTATACCACTTAAACAATATTACTTTTGTATTTAATTCTTGTACAGGGGTTGTTATTTTTTCTTTTTTTTATTTGCATTGGTAATTATGGGATAGAAATAATAACAAATTCAAAACTAATTTATTATAAACTGTTTTTCAAAACTCTGTACTGGGATGCCCCGATTTTTTAGACAAATAATTTCCAAATAATTTTTCCTTTGCTTAACCCTCATTTTTTGTTATAAATATTTACTCGAAAAAAACAAAATAACGAACATGACTTTTTTAAATTTTACTTGACAAATAAATCTTGCACCAAAAATTTACTTGAAAAATATAAAAAACAAACTTGGGATCAAAATTTTGATTCCCATAACCCAAATTTTGCCAAAAACATAAAACACAACTTTATAATTAAATGTCCATGTTTACAGAATCACCAAGTCGTGTTCTGGATAAAAATAAAAAGTATAAACGAGTAAAACAAGCATTGAGAGAAGATAAATTGGTTAAGGCTATACAATTGAAAAGTTTTTTTAATTTTTGAACTGTTTATTTCATTTAAGACTCTTTTGATTAATAACCTTGATTGTTTAAATGTTTGTTTTATGTTATCGATTACTTTGTTAATTGTTGAAATAAACAAAAACTTATTATTAATTAAAGTGTTGTATCATTTGATGCAATAATGTCCTTCATCACATCATTAGTTTATCGTTATATTACGTTTATCTTATGTTTATTTGAAAGATAGAATTTTACTGAAGTTTAGTCACAAAATGAAACACAAACCAAATAACGAACCTGGAAAATCGGGAAAGATTTACCCAATATTTGGGTGATTTCCCGATTTTTTGTTCAATAATTGAAACTGTATTGGTTTTTAAGGGTTTTAAACTGTGTACTGTTGTTGGTTCAACAAAAAGGAAAATAAAAAATAAAACAAATAAAAAATAGTAAATAATGGGAAATTAGGACAAAGGGTTTATATAAATTTTGGAAACGGTACAGAGTTTTGGAAAACAGTTTATTAATAACTTCATTGAAAAAAGTAGGTTCAACAATTGTTAATATATTTCGACGAAAATTGACTGCATTTGTGTAATTAAATACATTAAGTATTTGTTCCTTTGTTGTAAGCCCATATTTACAAATGGTTTTAATAAAACACAAAACAAAAACGCCACAAGATGTTCAGTTTTTTTTGTTGAGGCACTTCAATATCAATAGGTGAATTAATTCCGAAATCAACTCCTTTTAGTTCAAATTCTCTTTGTACAAAAGATGCAACCACATTTAAATAATTCATAATCTATTAAATTGTTAAATTTTCCAACAAATGAAACTCTTTCATTTTTTATAAAAACTCCCACCATCATAAAATGTATGTTGTGGTAAAGTGGAAGAATAAATTCATTTTCATTTGCAATTTTTGCAATTTTATTTTTAATTCGATTTTCACTCAATCGTTCTCCAAAACAATTTTGCCAATCAGAAATGTATATTTTGTTTCTCCAAATTTTATCATTTCTCATTTTGATCCATAATGTATAAAGATCGAGTATTTCAGTGTTCAACATCTGATTGGAAATTACACTTTTAATTTCTTCAATATCATTTCTTGATGGAAGATTAATTAAGTCATTGAAAAATATGTCATTTAATCGATTAAATGTTTCACTAGTTCTGTGGTTAGTAAAACAAGTTGGTCTAATTTCCACAACTTTACATTTTGATAACTTTTCATTTGTTGTTTTTTCTTTAGTTATTTCATTTTGTTTGTTGTTAAAAATTGTTTCATTTTGATTAGTATAAACTTCTTCTTGTTTATTTCTGTCATATTTGTATTGTTGTTCGTTTGACACAATTTCATAACTCAATGGATTCGATAAAATAAAAGCGGAATCATGTTGTATACCTCTTTCTAGTATTTCCATTGCATCATCTTTTGATTTGAATGTTACTGTAGCCACAGAATGAATATCTTTATCAAAGGTAAGTATTGTTTTGTTATTACACATTGGTACTTTAACTCTGATAATTTTATTGTTGGGTTTGTCATCGTTTTCAAAAAACACTTATTCTCTGGCTCTGTCAACCCACTCTCCAGTTTTTAAATGTAAATCATTTGTATGTTGTTCAGTCACTCGAGACAAAGAAGCGTTTATAATTACAACAAAAAGATCCATTTCAATTTTTCTTGGAACTGCAGTGTTCAACAAAAAATGTTTATAATTTGTTGTGCTTTTTATTGCTCTGAAAAAAGTTGTGTTGTCAACCATCACTTGGTTCAAATAACTTTTTTCAACCAAAAAGCACTTTTCAATTGCGTTCAATTGTAGACTATAAGGAATGAGGAAAGTTACCTAAATACCACATTCTCTGCACAAATTTTTATTTTCTCTTTTGTTGGATATTCTAAACACTATTTTTTCCTGAGACCATCATTGTAAAAACAGTCAGATTTCGTTCTCTTATATGTGAATGAGTAACACTACAACAAAACGTTTTAAACTTTAACCCTGTGTTCTTCGTTGATTAAGAGAAAAGCCGACTTCATCGAGATAAGAAAAAACAAATTCAAAATTAACAACAAATTCGATGTGTTCCGCATATATCATTCTCTGTAATAATCTATATTCGGTATTTCTGTCAAAAATGACTTTTTAGTGTTTTTAAGTGTCCAACCCAACTTTTTAACAATACGATGAACTGTGCATACTGATAACGATTTTTGTTGTAACATTTTGTTAATAATTGTTTGGTTCTTTCCTAGACTTGGTCCAATTTCTGCCACTTTATCCATCCACATTTCTCGCTTGGTATTTATATCTTTGGTTAATTTTTTCATTGTGATTTGTTTATGAGACTTAAGAACGTCTATAAGCATAGTTATGCTGTTATAGTCAACTTTAATATTTGTACCGTGTTTTCAACCTCTTGTTTCTCCTTTCAATGATATTCCTTTTTCTTGTCTTTTTTATCCCTTAGACCGTTGTTTTACTCACTTTGAACTGTTTAGCAGTTTCACTTATGTTTCCATTTTTTGTAAATGGTACAAGAATGTTTGTATATAAAGCTCTTTTTCTTTCATGTCTGTTGTTTCTTTTATCCTTTCCCTGCTTTTTTTCTTTTTAAAAGTAGAAGATACAATTTGAGTTGGAGTTAACACGAGATCAAATTTTGCCAATTGTTTTTTTCCTTTAGAAGTCTTTTTCATTAATTTGTAGTAAATACTTAAATGATTGCCAAAAGATTTACACGTATTAAAACTCCCAATTTTTGTTATATTTAATGATAATGGAGGGGTTCCAAATTTTGAATGTTATTTAAACTCTTTGTGTTTTTTTCTGTGATATCAACTTTTTTGGAAAATCCAAAATGTAAAATGGGTTGGCTTGTATTCCTAAAAGTGTTTTAAGTTTTTCATCATAATTTTGCACTTCTCGTACTGGAATTCCATTGGGTTTTAAATGAAAAAAGTAACTAAACTCTTTCACGATAATTTGATTTTATTAATTTTGCGTTTTTGTGTGTTTCAAATGAATTTTTATTAAAGATAAAATATTACCAAAACAGCATTTTGAAAACAAAAAATTACAAAAATAGAATAATATAACAACCCCTGTAAAAGAATAGACGAACTTGGAACGACTTCACAAACACAAAGTGGATCCTTTTTATCACGGGTATTTTTAATAACACGAAGAATAAGTCCAGAAGCAATAAAAGCTCTAGAGATGTTAAATCTTATTGTTGTCTTTTGCCAAGATGTCAACACAGATAGTATTTGTTTACTCATGGTTGAACTGTTTAAGAGAACGGACTCGACGAGGGCTTCTTGTCCATGTAATTCTCTTTTTTGATTTCCGAAATTGAAACATCCAACACTTGTAAAAGATTACTTGTATGTGTAAGTTCTAACACGTCTTTTACTCCAGCTTTGCTTAACTTCTGCACAGCAAGTACATCAATATGTGAGCCATACCCATCCAATAGCAATGCAGCTTCACCATTGTAATTTGATATTGTTCTTTTTAAACTGAGTTCTGTGAGGAACACACAATCCAACCATTTATGAAATATTTGTGTGTTTAAAAAGGCGGTTTCTGAGTATTCAAACAGAACCTGATTAAACCATCCAAACTTAAACAACTCAACATCTATCGTTGAACGAAAAATTACAATCATTGCTTTTGAGTAACTCCCATCAATACAAATAGTTGCGATGAGTGTAATTTTGTTTCCA